GTTGTTATTAATTACATGTTGATGGTTTTTCTTGAATGAAAAAATAGGAAACAAGGGCTATAGACTGCTTAGAATCAGTAATTTGATTAGACATGTAAGTTTAGTTACATCTTTTATATAAAGTAAAAAATTTTGGGGCAGGATACTATTTATTCTTTTTGTTTTTACTTAAAGGTACATCGTTTCAATGTTCAGTTCAGACATTGGGTCAAATTCCTTTAATGTGAAGCAAACAGAACCAAAAATTTTTCCGACCCCTTCATAATATATTGTATGATAAAAACACCAACCTAACTTTTTTGACATTGTAGGAAAGAGATTTTGTTTGGAAAAAGGAGCTTGTCGAAAGATTCCAAGGTTAAGTTCTTTCTTTATTTTTGCCCTTCCCTTTTTTTTTTCCGGCACTTGAGTATTAACTAGGCTTTGGCTTGAGAATGTTTTTTTTTTTGGCTTGAAATAACTTAAACATTTCAGTGAGTAGGTTTGTGTGCACCTAGCATAAATTCTGTAATTTGAGCAGCATCTTTGTTGATCAGTGTGCTGGATTAGGTAACATTAGAGGTCACAGAATTTTATTTGTTTGCTTTTTTCCTAGTGTTTTTGAAGAAAAAAATGACTTCCTGGTATGGATATTTTTTTTGTAAAAAAAAAAATCCTTGTTAATTATATTGTAACAGCAGAATATGTTGAATGTTATTGATAAAACAGATAAATATGTAGTCCTTTAAATAGATGTGTATTTTGTTTGTACAATATAAAATGGGACAAATCTCTAATTTGAGAAATTTTAGATTTTTGCTGCAGTTAGATATTTAGATTTACCTTTTACTGGTGTCTGAATAGAATAAAAAAGGCATTTATGTCTTGAAAGAAGTGAAAAACTCTGTTAGAGATAATCATGAAAGGCATACGTTTTCCTGTTCAGTTTTTTGCCCTTAGTAATTACATTGACTTTTAGAGAGTTTATGAAGTAGAACAGTTACATTTTTTTTTTTTGTAGTTTAGACATGCAGTCGAAACTCATCAAATTAAATGTTTTTCTTGCTATAAGTTTAAATTTTTTTGAAACTTAAATTTTTTATGCATGGAAGCTATCAGCCAGCTAACATAAGGATGGTAGTTCTTTCATGTTGCCATTATTTTATGGAGAAGCGGTTTGTGGTTTTTAAAGTTTAAAACCATCACAGTATATTTTTTTACCATAAATAATTATAGTTTATACAAAACATAATATTGCATTAAATGTAAATCAAGTCATATGAATTTGATTAATATTGTATGTCAGTTAAGGAAAATCTAGAAATTATATGTAAGTTAATCAACATCTTATACTATCACTCATTCTATTCTTTGGTAAAATATATTTTTTGGTGAAAATAGAATACAACCCCTCAAATAAACAAACAAACCCCAAAAAAACAACAACAAACCTGCAAAAATAAACAAACAAAAATCTTGGAATTTCTTTGTCCTGGCCCCAACTTAATCAAAATGGATGAAGACTCTGATGGGGTTAGTCAAATGGACATACATCACATCTTCCTAGTTAGACTTAAGAATTTTTTAGAATTAAGGTTTGAGATTATTAGATCAGAGGCAACAGTCACTGGCCTTATTCACTGAAAGCTTGTCCAACTTATAACTAGAGAACACTGAGGCATACAATGATTAGATTTTGTGTGGATGTAAGTCATGATTAGTTGATATTAGGGGTGTGGATCGTCGGATAAGTGACGATCCGATCCAACCACGATTCAGCACTTACGATTCACAAATTGAACCACAAATCTTTTGTTATCAAGACACCCATAAAAACATGTACATTAGTTATAAAAACATGTTTATTTAAAAAAACAACAACAATACTAAACATAAACAATAAAACTAGGTTTATTTTTTATTCTTTGGATGAGTATTTTGTTTTTTTTTTTTTGAAACCAATTAACTTCCTAGCTCAGCATCATGGTACATGGTCTTTAACGGCAAATTGGTATTAAGGTAAAACTTCATATAATTTATAGCTCAAATCGTATTTCTTTAGATTTTATGAGTGTGAGAAACAGTGAATGTATATAAAAAAAATTAGATCGCAATCCATGATCTCTGGGCTTACGAATATTCAAACTCGATTTTTCACTTTGATTCGTGATTATCCGAGTACTCGGATACTCGCCCCAGCCCTAGTTGATATTAAGGTCAAGGGGTTAAAGGTCAAGGTTACCATGGCCTTTACCATTACAAGCTTGTTTGACCAATAAATCCAGAAAGGTTACAGTGCCAAGATATTTCAGTTATCATGTTTAGTAGATGGCCCCATTGATTTTTAGGTAATTGGGTTCATATAACTGGTAATGTGGTATTCTTGAAATGTTTAAAACAAACTTTGTTTGCTTTTAGAATTTTTGTTACTTTCCATGTTGTCACATTATTTTCTGTTGTTGATGTAAAGTGTTTGCCTTAGCCTAACTGACACCACCATATGAATTACTTGCATACTGATAGGCAACTTTCATTGAATACTTAATACTGGAGACAGTCAGCTGTATTTTAGCTCTTTTGAACATGGACTGGGTTACATATGTTACTAGTATTGTTTTATAAACAGATTTTGTCTGTTAAAATTATGTTGTATTTTAAGCTGCTTTTTCTTGATATTTTTATTTGAACAAAAATGAAAATTTGTTGTAAATAGTTCTGTGTAAGATCTTTTTTTCTTCACCATGTTGTCTATCACTTTGATTCAATTTAATCTAGTAATATTCAATGTCTCCTACAGTACAAAATAAGAGAAAAATACATTACATTATTACTAGTATTATGTGAATGTTTTATCAAGCTATTAAGTAAAGTCTCCCCCATCCCCCCATCTGTTGTTTTCTTTGCAGGATATTAGAGATGAATAAAGGCATACAGTAGCTACATATTCAAAGTTTTTCTTTTACAAGTTTGTCTACAAGTTTGTCTCGAAAGTAACATAGTCAAGGAATTTTCACCCTATCAACAGGGTGCGAAATAAGGCCCATTCCCAATCAAAAAGAGCCTTTTTTCCCATTTTGTAAAAAAAATTCCCAACAGCAGACCAAAATGTCAAACTATTTTAACTTCTGGAAAAAAACAAAACTGTTTTCACTTGAATCTGGAAGGGTTTATTATATCTATATGATATATTATAACATGTTAAAAAACTTACAAGTTATAAATAAAAACTTTTTTTAACTTTTTCATATTTTTTTCTTCAAATTTTCCCCAAAAATAGCAGGAAAAGGCCCTGAATCTGATTAATGTTGTCTTAGGTTTTGTGCTGTACTGTTGTATGTTTAGTGTTGTTGTGGCATGAAGTATTCTTAATCTTTCTTATGCTTCATTTTTTTGTAACCAGGATTTTGATTGAAAATCCTGGTTATTGGATTGGCAAATTGCGGGCATTTGGGCAAAAGTCAAAACAGTTTGTTTTTGGTTGATAACTAGATCTAGATATTATAATCAAACTTTGTATAAGCAAGCTTATAAAGAAACTTCACTGTGTCTTGCTTTTGAGCCTTTATAAGGCTAGGTTCATTGATACCAAAAATAGAAAAATGGTTTTTCGATAGATAACTACAGGTTTACAGGTTACTTTGCATATGGAACTACATTGTTGAATCAGATAGAGTACACTGAGTGACTTGGTGAGGCTAAGATATTCCACTATTTGTCTCTATGTTGACCATGTTTTTACCTGTGTCAATGTTTAACCTATGTCAATGTGGCATTAGGGAGCATCTGTTATTGCAAATAATATTTCTGGTTTTTAAAAATACTGAATGTTAATGTTTTGAACTAAATGGTGAATAATATGAATACAAATTAAATTTTATTAATTTCAATTGGAGACTTGTGTATTGAATTGAAAGAAGAAATATAGATTTCTTTTAAACTGCTTCTGATTTTGTTATTCACAAATGTAATATCTGGGTTTATGTGGTTAAACAGGGCAAAAAAAAGTAAAATATTAAAGTTTCCTGGAAATTCATTTTATATTAACAGCAGCTGACAGGAAATTAAATGTTTTATTTTTTTTATCTGAAATGGCTGGAGACTGTTAGAGCACGAGGGAAACAGACAAATTTATTTCTGTTTAGCTGCTGGAAATCTTGTTGCCTCTCTCTCTCTTATGTCTATTGATTAATAGAAACAAGTTGTCACATAGATGGAATTTTGATGAGTGGATAATTAGCATTCTGACTCGGCTTAACTAAATATGGAGACCTGCTTTGTTCAAACCTGATTGGCTGCATGGAATTAATTTGAATGGATACACATGTAAAAGCAGTGGGTAAAATGGAGAGATTATCTTTATTTACAGTTTTGGCAAGAAGATCCTGATTTGTATGGTGTAAGACGATCTAGTAGAGCACGTCAGGAACCTACCAGATACAACATTGGGGTATGTTTAAGCTTGTTTTCTGAAAATTTTGCCATTCACAGATAAAGTGAAAATTCCAAATAGTGATACAACAGTTGGATTATTGTAGAAGTTACTTGTGGAGATTTAGATCAAGAGATTTCAGAAATTAACTAGCTTTCATAAATAATAATAAGCTATTTAGAATATGTTAATATATAACAATACATACATTATTATTAAAATCAAAGATTTGTTATCAATTTAAATTATATATAAAACACCTTTAAGTCTCTAAGTGATTTGATTAGAGTTAGAAATAGTGTGAGCTGAAACTTTGTTATTACAGAGTGATAGTGACGAAGAACCAAAACGAAGACGAAAAAGAACAAATAGTCATAGAAAAAAGTAGGTGAAAACTTTTATTTGTAGAAGATGGTGCTAAGACTATTTCCACTATTTCTGATTGATTTGCAGTGAAACACTCCAAAATGTTCACTTTTTAAAATAATACAACCTGAGCTCATATTAAAGTTGTTAGCTTGTTAGTGGTTTTTTTTTTCAAAAAAAGTTTGAGCTGTTGCTCTTATGTTGTTGTTGACATTGATGTTGCTAATGTTGTTGATTTTTAAGTTGGTGAATTTTGCTCTAATTGCCATAACTTTGTTATTGATATGAAAGATTTGATTCATAATTTAAAAAAAGCAGTTATAATGACCAAGAACATTGACTTGTTAAAATTTCAAGTATGAGTCTGTATGACCTTGATCTGTTAATGACCTTGCCATCAAGCTCAAATATGAAATTTTAATTCAATTCTGAACACAAAATGTGTTTTGAAATTACTTTACTAGCGATCAATAAGACAAACTGTTAGTACCAATGTAATGAGAATAAATTATATTGTTATATTGTTCCAGTTCTGGGGAATGGAACAGTGATAGTAGTAGTGATAGTTCAGCAAGTTCAACTGAAAGATTTAAACCTCGAAGGCAGCCACCTACCAGGTAAGTTATATTCCTATTTCAAAAACTGTTTTGTGACGAGACATGATCTCATTTTTGCTAAAGTTCACTAGTAATGATACAATGTTGCCAATATGAACGATGCCAGATTTTATTTCATTTCAAAATCCTAAGCATGCTTCTTTTTTTTAATTTTGATTAACAGATTTTTTAAAATTTTATTTGCAATATATTTTCTGTTTATAGGAAAATGATATGTATATTTTGTGATATAAAATAGTCTTGAAATATAATGTTAATTGTTCTGACTACAGGTAAATGAATTATAGCTTCAATCACAGTGAGCAAACCATTTTTCAAAGAAACATTTTTATGAATTTCAGGTCAAAGAGGGGAAGGCCAGGGAGACCGGGACGCCCCAGTAAGCAACAGGTACGGTCTGTGGGTCGTCCAAAAAAGAAAAACTCCTCTGACGAAGAAGATTTTTCCGACAGTGAAGATGATTACACTAAAAGTTACAAATCCTATAATAAAAGATCTGTCTCACAAAAAGTCAGGTAAATCAAATATCCTAAAAGTTGTTTATTTGTTATAACTCTATGGAAGGTTTAAAAAACAACAACAAAGCAGTGTTCCTTTAGCATGTCTGCATTTCCTTTACAAGTAGATAAAATATGATGTTCGGTTATATGCAAGTTTTTTTGAGTTATATAAATATTGGAAGACAAGCTATTTCTGGAAATGGCTAGCAGGAAATGCTACAATTATCCTTCAAACATATCTTTTGCTTGACATGATACGCTTCAAGGAGGAAAGTAAATGTGAATTTCAGACATTTATGCAAGTGTATTTCTGGAGCATAAAGAATGGCATGTTACACAATATAGCATTTATATAGATTGATAAGCTTTGATGTAATGATGTACAAGTCTATATGCTAAGCCATATGATCATTATAACTTTGAAATAACTTAGAAGGTTGTGTGTTGTTTTTATCAAAGCGATTGGTTTAAATTCTACTGAATGAGAAACTATCAATGAAATAGTTAAAATTACTTTAAAGTATTGTAAATCATCATTTGAAGTTTGCCCTTTTACCAAAAAAGAAAGATCTAGGCAAAATTAATACTGTGAACATGAATCTATGCTTTCAAATGCAAAACAAAGATTGGTTTTAAAAGGAAATTTTAAAAAAAGTGGCAATTAAACTTTTGATACATGTCTATTCCCTGAATTTAATATAAATACCTTATATTAAGTAATATGTAATTTTCTGAGCTTAAGTTACTTTAAAACTTAGCATTTTAAGTTTGTAATATTTGGTGTTAATTTTGCACTCTACAGGGGTAAAGGTCGTGGAGGGGCGAGCACCTCAAGGGTTACAGCCACCCGACGAGGGGTAGCTAGCAAAAATGTTAGGTGAGACTGATCATCAGTCATAACTCCTCTGCTTAGATAGCATAGGCTGCATCAAATATTGTTATATATATTGCCAAGATTGAATCAGTGCACAGGGCTGGAGAAAAAGGTCACTGTCATGCAAACAAGCAAAATTGAGGCTTGAGTTGCCTCTTTCCAACAAAGTTGAAACGGGTATATTAATACTTGTTTAACTTTAAGTCATTTAGTATCATGTTTTTGTTATTGCAGGATTTGTTTTGTTTCTACTATAGTTATTATGTTGGTATAACTAGAAGTTCCTTTCTTTGAGTACTTTGTTGCTCTCTTCCTCTGTGTTCATGTAATTGTATTGTTTTTCACTAACTCTATGGCTACATGAAACATAATACAGTTACATATGTACTTTTTACCTCTTATATAATATTTAGTCATATGTATACCTATACTGGACTTACACAATCTCTAATCTTCTTTTGGTTTGCTTGAGTGTTTAAGGATGCCAACTTCAAACTTCTTGCCTCTCACTCGAATGAGTCATCTGTATTTTGTTTGTGATGTTAGTTACCTGCAGATATATTTTGGTTTTCTTAGACTTTAAAAATTGATTGCAGCGCTTTACAATGAATGGAAATTATTACTGAATGTATTGAAAATCAATATAGAATATTTCATCTACAAATTATTGCCAAAACATTAAAGCATAGAGAAGTGTTATGAATGCTTGCAGTGAATAAGGCCTGAAAATAAACTCTGTGTTAGTGTACTGTTACATTCATCAAATTGGCCTCTGTGTTGGAGTTATTAAGGGTGAAAACTTTTTAAAGACTTAAACTTTACCACAGTGAGTTTATATAGCACCAGGGATGATGGTTAAAAAACAAAACAAGTGTTCCTGCATGTGCCTGAAATAATGCCTTGTGTAACATAACAGGTGGTGTTCATCCGCAAATATGCTGGAGTATAGTTGTGACTTGTAAACCCCAGATATTGTTATGAAATTAATTTAAACAAAAACAAAAAACTCGTAAAACAAATATTATGCATATATATTAATTAAAAGAAAAATATGAGAATTTTTCAATGAAGTTATATACACACATATAGTATAAGATACAAGAGCAGAGGAGATATGATAAACTCTCGTTAATATACAGTGAAATATAGTGTTTCCTATTTTGTTGAGAATAAACAGTTTATTTATTTGCTTTTCAAATGCTTGCATGCCTGTATGACATAGTTTGCCATAATGTCACCAGCTATTTTCTCTTTATTTGCTCATTTAATTGCTTTTAGAATGGAGGAAATACTCATTGACTTTTTAGTTATTTAATTCTAATTTGTCTCTATGAATTGTTATGAATTTGGGATTATTTTTCATGATTTATGCATGCATTAAGGTTGTGATTAATAATTTGAGTTGGAATTTTTAAATTGTTTACTATAATTGAATCTACATTTTCTTGGTAATTGTCTATGGAAATAATGATGGGCTTTTATGTTGGACAGTTTTTAGCTCGACTTTTCTATGAAAAGGGGAGCTATCCTACTCGCCCCGGCGTCGGCGTTGGCGTCACACCTTGGTTAAGTTTTTCGTACCACCCCACTTTATTTCAGAAGTATTACAAGTATGGCTTTGAAACTTACCATACTTGTTCACCATCATAACCTCCATCTACAGACAAGAGTACATAACTCTGTCAAGGTTTTTGACAGAATTATGGCCCTTTTTTGACTTAGAAAGTGTATTGAGCTTGGTTAAGTTTTTTGTACCACCTCACTTTATTTCAAAACCATTGGAGGTATTGCTTTGAAACTGACCATACTTGTTTACCATCACGACCTTCATCAACAGACAAGAGGACATAACTCTGTCAAGGTTTTTGACAGAATTATGCCCCTTTTTGACTTAGAAAATACATTGAATATGGGTAAAATCCACTTATTGCCTTAACCCTTTGAGATATTGCTTTGAAACTTTTAATGCTATTTCACATCATTACCCCCATCTGTACGCAAGAGAAGGTAACTCTGTCAAGGATTTGTTTTTAAAAATTAAGGCCTTTTATCGACTTAGAATCTTGGTTAAGTTTTTAGTACCAGTCCACTTTTTGACTGAACTGTTTGAGATATTCATTTGAAAGTTGGAATACTTGTTTACAATCATGGATTCCCAAACATGTCCAGGAGAAGGTAATTCTGTCAAAGATTTTATTTGAATTATGGCCCTTAACTGTCAATGTTTTGTATTATAGGCAAGCACTAAAAAACTTAAAAAATCTAAAAAAATTCATTCCTATCCACTTGTTCACTTTACCATAAATTATGTCATATAAACATTGCTGTAATATTCAAGGGTATCAAACAACTAGTTCACTTTAAAAATACAGAGATTCTTGTATTGCCTTTTACTGCAAAAACTTTTTTTATTGGCAAGCAATAAAAAAGTCGAGCGCGCTGTCTTACGGACAGCTCTTGTTATGACTGTGACCTACATATCAAATGAATGTATGCACCATATGCAATATAACCTGTATAAAGTCTACATAACTTAATGATGATACTGTACAAATTGTATTGTTTGAGGTAGACTTTGCAGTAGCTATTTATATAAATGATATAAACAATATCAGTCTTATTTTTGTTTGTTTTTTTCCCCAAGCATTTTAAGGACCAAAATAGGGCATCATTCAAATTGGCAAATGTAATTTACCGTAAACATATTTCAACTTAGAAAGCTTAATTTTAACGGAATGAAATAAGATCATATTCACAAATAATTGCATTATGTAGCCAATTGTCACAATTCAAAGGGCCCAGAAACACACTGGGAAAAACACTGAATATAATTGTCCAATGAAAATTGATGTAACAAAACATGTAATACTCTTATGTTGTTTCTTTGTATTTGTTTCTAAGCCCATACAGAACTTGAATGAATTTCACCGTTATTCTTTTAAAGTATCTGGCAATAGAGCAAGTATTTAAAAATAACAGATTTTTTTTAAGAATTAATCTTAAAGCTCAAGCCAAATTTTTTTATAAAAATTTGACTTTAATATAAATATTGTGCTTGATTTTGTTGTGATTTTCTACTTAATGGTTACAATGAATTAGTTTCTATTAGTAATAATATGTGAGAAATTGATGGTATAAATATTGTAAGTAGGGTTGTATTATTATAATTTTATATACAGCTATAAGGGGGAGGCTTGCCAACAGTACATAATGTCCTACAAAGCATCATATCCCAACTTTTTGTTTTTATTTGCTCATTATTGTTGTTTAACCACTGCACTGCTTAGTAATGAAATTGGCTTGTCTTTATTAAATTTAGGTGGTTTATAATCAAGCAGTTAACAGTATAATTTTTTGTCTGACTGCACTTTTTACCACTTTATTGTCTCCACTTTAATGAAGAGCAGCTCTAAATCTTGTCCCATTGTTTTGCTTTTCAATTAGATAATACATGTATATACAGAAAATTGATGAAATTAAAAAAAAAAATTGACGAAATTCAGACAAATTTATAATGACCTAATAATTTATGGTTTATGATAATGGAAGTTTTACTTTAATTTTACATTGTTTTGTTACAGTTATAAAGAGGAAGACAGTGGAGCAACAGACTCTGATGACATTATTGAGGCTCCAGAAGGTGAAGAGGAAGAAAAAGAGAAGGAAGAAGAAAACAAAGAAAGTATAGAAAAGATACTTGATCATAGACTAGGCAAAAAGGGAGGTAAGTCTTGTCAAACAAGTTTCTTCTTCCCTTTTCTTGTCATATTATCATTGCATGATATAAAATGTCTTGAACAGTCTTTGACTGAAATCATTAAAAATGGTAATTTCACTGGCAAACAAAAGATTCAAACTATAAATAATAGTTCTGTTGTTTTCTGAAAGTCGGACAGTTTGGTTAATATCTTTCAGATCTGTGGCTTTATTTAAGCTAAAAAAAAGAAAAGGAAAGAGAAAGAAATATACTTCTATAAGTAACCCCCGTTTTTAAGAATGAAATATTTGTAAGGGTTTTTATTCTTGTTTGATATTATAAACTTTCAATAAATTCAACAGAGGCTGCTTCTGTTATCAAGTGGTATCTATCTTGTATAGAAATTTATATTAAAACCTTTTCTCTATGATTCTTTGATGAATATTCATATAAACTCATGATTAAATATTCCAAAATTTCTTACGTTTACCTATTTCTATAATAAGCATCAGGAGAGAGAACCACGATATATAATATTGAAGAAAATGGTGACCTTAACCAAATACTGCCTGAGGACACACCTAAAGAGGTGCAGTACTTTATAAAATGGAAGAACTGGGCACATATACATAACACGTGGGAATCTGAGGAGAACCTACGTCAGATGAAGATAAATGGTCTGAAAAGACTCGATAATTATATAAAGAAAATGGATGAAATTAATGAGTGGTAAGTGATATGTACTTAGTCAGGGTTTCCGATTAATGGAAGTCATTAACTCCTTGATTTTGTCTTGTGACTTCTGAAATGTAATGTTTTTCTTCTTTTCCTATATCATATGACTTCCATTGTAAGACATTCTGCAGTCTCTGACTTCCAAATTTTGGAACTTAATGGACACCCCTGATGTACACACAAAAACTTTCATTAAGAAATTGAGATAAAACTTGGGTATGAAATAAAATTAGTTAATTTATTTGGTCCTAACTTTCAATACTATATTTTTTATCCTAAAGGGAATTGATGCGCATTATCTTGAATTTTGCAATGTAAATTAGATAAATTAGAAGAAGAAAGGAGGTTGACCCAGTTTGAGATAATTTTTTAGAGGTATTTAAAGAAAGAAAAAGTTTATACTGAATTTGTAAATTAGCTTTTGGTACAAAAATGGTAGACAGCTGACATCAAAATTGAGCATTTTCAGTGTAATCATTATGGTCCTTGTGTTGTATTTCTACAAGCATGTCCACCATACGCTAATTTGTCAATGTTTCATTTATTATAAGACAGACATTTTGTGTTACAGGAAGAAGTTTGCTTCACCAGAAGATATAGAATACTTTGATATACAGATGGAATTTAATGAAGATCTCTACAAAAATTGTCTTCTTGTTGAAAGAATAATATGTAAGTTTCTGGCCATATTGTGTTGTATAGAATTGTGCCTTTACCTTTAACACACCCAATATCTTAAATTGACAAGTCAATCTTTTTTTGTGCACTGACTGAAAAGGAAACAGTGCAGAACATGATGAGATGGCATGAAAGTGCTGGCTGATCTTTGCTTGCACTGGTAGATTTTATGTTTACCTCAATGTAAAATTTGATCTGTTTATCCTCAGACTTATTTCAAGTCACATGCAAAGAATATTTCTGTATAATATAAAATCAAATAACTGACAACATGCACGCTCTGAAAATATTTTATTTATTTAGGTGTAACAATTTCCAGTAATTAAGTGTTTCTTTTTTAGTCCCCTACCGGTTTACCGGAGGGGACTTTAGGTTTACCCTCCGTCCGTCTGTCCGTCCGTCTGTCTGTCTGTCTGTCCGTCAGTCCGTCCGTCCACAAAACTGGATCCCGCGATAACTTGAAAAGTACTGAAAATATTTTTTATGAAACTTGATATATGGATAGATGGCAGTATGGAGATTATGCACGTCTTTTTCTTTTCTTCCTATGTTGAAAATTCTGGTTGCTATGGCAACAAATAGGCTGAAAATATGGCAAATTTTACACATAAACTGGATCCAGTGATAACGCAAAAAGTACTGGAAATATTTTTATGAAACTTAAAATATGGGTAAATGGTAGTCTGGAGATTATGCACGTCTTTTTCTTTTCTTCTTATGTTGAAAATTCTGGTTGCTATGGCAACATATAGACTGAAAATATGGCAATTTTTACACATAAACTGGATCCAGTGTTAACGCAAAAAGTAATAGAAGTATTTTATGAAACTTGTAATATGTGTAGATGGCAGTCTGGAGATTATGCACATCTTTTTCTTTGAAAATTCTGGTTGCTATGGCAACATAGACTGAAAATATGGCAAATTTTACACATAAACTAAATCCAGTGATAACTTAAAAAGTACTGGAAATATTTTTATGAAACTTGACATATGGGTAGATGGCAGTCTTGAGATTATGCATGTCTTATCTGTTCTTCCATTTTGAAAAAATATTGGTTGCCTTGGCAACAAATAGGCTTAAAACATGGCAAATATAACAATATTTGTGATAAGTCAAAAAGAGCTGAAAATTTTTATGAAATTGCATCTTTAATTCCAGAGTTATCTCCTATTTAAGAATTTTTCTTTTTAAATTGTTATATTTTGGTAACGGATGTTTCAAATATTAAATTTAGAGTGTCCTTCAGTCCGTCTGTATTTTCAACAAAACTGTTTCCTGTGATCACTTTTAAAGAACTTTTCCAACAAATTTACTATAAAAACATTAGTGAATGGCCAATGGCCCTTCAGAATGTTGATGGGGTTCCATCCGGTAGGGGACTTATGGATTGCTTGCAATACTATGATAATTGCTTGTTTCTATTGAGACATAATGTTATCTCACATTGGCCATTATTGTTATGCACTCTTTCATTAATTCCCTTATTTGTCTACAGCATCTGTTATATTTTCCCCTTTCTGCTAAAAGCCTGTTCGCTTTCAGCTCATTCAAACCAAAAAACCACTAATGAGCAAAATGGATTTCCCGACTACCTCTGCAAATGGAATGGCCTGCCATATTCTGAGTGCACCTGGGAAGATGGTGATCTCCTATCCAGAAAGTTTCAAGATATGATAGATTGTTACTACCAGAGGAACAAGTCTCAGAAAATACCCACCAAGCTTTCAAAGGTGTTGAAGAACCGTCCAAAATACCTACCATTAAAAAATCAGCCCGGGTTTATTGGTGGTGAGGAAGAGCTTACATTACGAGATTATCAGCTGGATGGTGTTAACTGGTTGATGCATTCATGGTCAAAGTAAGTGTTGATATGTTAAGCCTAAGTTTCCTGAGGTGTTTTTATTAAAAAAGATTAAAACAATGTGTGACTATGAATGAGGCCAGCATATAGTACAGTAAGAGGACTATTTATTTTGTACTACTTGACAGTGTTTGGAAGTTTTCAGTAACTGAATGATCTATATGCCTGCTAATGTGCACATGTATAAAAGATACATAAGAAGTGCTTGGAGTCAACCTGTCACCATGCTTACATTATGGCTAACATATTGAAATCGGAAAATGAAAAGTCAGGCAGTTTATTTGACAACTTTGTTTCTCCAGTAATCAGTCGAACATTTTTAGATAACGCCAATGTCATTTTGACTCTGCATATGAAAAAGTAATTCATTATACAGTGTAAAGAAATATTGAATGAAAAATTGATTTTTATACTACAAAAATTAATATGAATAGTGACAAGTGTTACAATGTTTGTATTTTCATTTAGTTTACTGTTGATTCATTCTTATCATAACACATTTTAACTGTAAGATATTTTTCTGGTTTTAGAGATAACAGCATTATATTAGCTGATGAGATGGGTTTAGGAAAGACAATTCAGACTATAGGTTTTCTAGCTATCCTCTACAACACCTATCAGCTCTATGGACCATTTCTAATTGTCGTACCTTTGTCTACAGTGGTTGCTTGGCAACGAGAATTTGAAAACTGGTGTCCCGAAATGAATGTCATTATCTACCTTGGAGATGTCAACAGTAGAAACATAGTATGTTATCTTTGTTATAATTGATCTCTTGGTCACCTGTTTGTAACATTACCGCTGACAATGATAAAAAAAGCTTGAGCTTTAATTTATAGATGAACATTTCTCTGATGAAGTGGCTGCCCTTTGAGGTTAATCACATTATAGAATTCCTGCTCAGTGACTTACATTGTGAGTTGGGCATTTTGGTTTGCAACCAAAATCACTTTTGCCTTTAACAATTCTCTGGTTACCCCTTTGAAAGTATTGTTAAAATTTGTTTGCCATTTGTTAGAATGAAATTGATTTCAACTAGCTGTAAAGTTAATGTATAATCAATATCCTTCATTATCATACTAATGAGGTGAGACTTATATTTTCTGTTTGTAATTTAAAAAAAGTTCTTTAAAAATTTAGAATCTAGCAAATCGTGTTTAAGAATTAGTGTGAAATGAGATCAATGAAATGAGATTTGAGTAAAGAAAAGTGTTGTGATAGAATTGGTAGAAACATCTTTTAGTCCATTCTATATTGCTACTGTGTGACCAGATAAAGGTGAGGGCTATTATTGAAGAAATGTTTAAACATATAATTTTTTTTTTTCAGATGCGAGACTATGAGTGGTGTCATCCTGGTAATAAGAGGTTAAAGTTTAATGTATTGGTTACAACATATGAAATCCTTCTAAAGGATAAGGTTAGTATATATACAGGTTTTATTACTGGTCTTTAAATCCAAGTTTTATTCAAATTACATACTCCTGATTGTTTATCATTATGCTACAGCAAGAGATTTTCTTATGAAATATTTTGAAAAAAAAGAAAAAAGAAATAGGCTGAACTTTTACACTGAAACCACCTTTATTTAAGAATGTCATCAGTAAAACATGTTGAATAAAACGAAATTAATGTAACTCACTATATGCATCTACCAATATTTCATATGCCTGAAAAAAGAGCAATAAAACTTAAACATGTATTTATTTAGAGAGAGAGAAATAAAGATTATGTTAAAGTAATCACATTTATAAGTGCTCATTCAAGTTTTCTTTCTGGTTTTCATTTGAAAAATGATTGTTTCCTTTTCAACAGAACCTAGGTGAATGACAATGTTTTGCATCAGTTTAAACATAATTATTTAAGCTCAGTTGTGAGATCTTGAAACAAGAGATCTTGCAACTTAAAGAAGTCATTTTCAGTTTTAAAAAGTTACATATACAAGCTTTTGTAAAGATAATGGTGAGATTTTCCCAATATTTCAGTCATTTCTTGGTGCTGTTAGTTGGGCAGAGCTGATTGTAGATGAGGCTCATAGATTGAAGAACACAGATTCACTTCTGTATAGAACATTGATGGATTTCAAGTCAAACCACCGCCTACTTATCACTGGTACTCCACTGCAGAATTCACTGAAGGAACTTTGGGCCCTACTACATTTTATAATGCCAGAAAAGTAAGTGGGATTATAAATATAGATAATGCATTGATATTTATCTGAAATTCTAGCATTATTACCAGCCAGGGATAAATTTGACATTAAAAATGGGCGCACTTATAATTTTCGCACTTGTATGTAAGGCTGTTGCATACCTTGTCATTGATTATATAACAGCAATCACTATTTTTTGTGATGTCAAATGTTTTGATACATGAATATTATACTGCATAAAGCATCTTTTAGGTCAAATTAGTGCAACCAACACCTTTGACTGTGCTAGGAAATAGGCTGTATTTGATGTTGTAAAACATGATTAGTTAACGATATCCTAAAACATTATTCCTTGAATGAACAGGTTTCCCAAATGGTCAGATTTTGAAGACAAACATTCTCGTGCAGACAAGACAGGTTTTGCTCTACTTCACAAACAGTTGGAAGCTTTCTTGATTAGAAGAGTGAAGAAAGATGTAGAAAAATCTCTCCCTGCTAAGGTATGTGTATTTTGTAGTGATTTTCCATTTGTTTGTAGCATTCTTCTGATTCAAAAATTTTAGATGAATAATTTATGTAAATTGTTCTATTTTAATCAATGAAGCAAATTATCTTACGATGCTGAATTAAAGGGAATTCCAATCTCATTTTGTTTTTGGCAATTGAATTGTAATGACACAGATAATATTTTTATTTTACAGACTGAGCAGATCCTACGTGTAGAGATGTCATCAGTACAAAGACAGTATTATAAATGGATCTTGACGAAGAATTATAAAGAGTTAAACAAAGGCTTAAAGGGCAGTTGCTCCTCGTTTGTTAACATTATCATGGAGTTAAAGAAATGTTGCAATCATGCATTTTTAGTTCGTCCAAGTGAGACTGAGTATAACCAAAATGATCATTTACAGGTATGTTTTGTATAAGTAATACATTAGAGTGAGTTACTACTTAATTCTTTATATTGAACTCTTCATAACTATGATTTAAAAATAGACATGTTTCAAAGGCATGAAAATCTGCATTCATTTTTCATATGATTAATCTTTTTAATAAAAAAAATTTTATGATAGCTTTATGATTTTTATGCCCCCACAGAGTGGGAGCATATAGCGTTGCACTTGTCCGTCCGAGTGTCCGTCCGTCCGTACGTCCCGAAATCTTGTGAACGCAACTCCTCTTAAACCGGATGGCAGATTTTGCTTAAACTTACAGGGATGAACAACCTTAATGTGTAGATGGTAGTAAAGGAAGGAATTTATGCTGCGACCAAATTTAACAGAATTATGGCCCTTTGTTGATTTTTTCACTATGTACTATGTAGAAATTTTGTGAACGCAACTCCTCTTAAACCGGATGGCAGATTTTGCTTAAACTTCCAGGGATGATAAACCTTAATGTGTAGATGGTAGTAAAGGGAGGAATTTTTGCTGCGACCAAATTTAACAGAATTATGGCCCTTTGTTGATTTTTTCACTATATACTATGTAGAAATTTTTGTGAACGCAACTCCTCTTAAACCGGATGGCAGATTTTGCTTAAACTTCCAGGGATGATAAACCTTAATGTGTAGATGGTAGTAAAGGGAGGAATTTTTGCTGCGACCAAATTTAACAGAATTATGGCCCTTTGTTGATTTTTTCACTATATACTATGTAGAAATTTTTGTGAACGCAACTCCTCTTAAACCGGATGGCAGATTTTGCTTAAACTTACAGGGATGAACAACCTTAATGTGTAGATGGTAGTAAAGGGAGGAATTTTTGCTGCGACCAAATTTAACAGAATTATGGCCCTTTGTTGATTTTTTCACTATATACTATGTAGAAATTTTGTGAACGCAACTCCTCTTAAACCGGATGGCAGATTTTGCTTAAACTTCCAGGGATGAACAACCTTCATGTGTAGATGGTAGTAAAGGAAGGAATTTTTGCTGCGATCAATTTAACAGAATTATGGCCCTTTGTTGATTTTTAGTTTTCAACTTGTGGCACATGTAGTCCAAAAAAATATTTGACCTAAAGTATTAAGAACAGTGGCGTGTGGGGGCATCCGTGTCCTATGGACACATTTCTAGTTATAGCCAATTTTTAAGTTGCCGAGGGGTTAAGGTAGCTGATTTTAAACTTAAGTTCAAGTCCTGTCCGGACATTGTTGGACGTTGGTCCTTCACAGGTGCCTGCTTTTTGCCGGAAATAATATACAAGTGGGCATCTGAGGACTTTTTCTACTATTAAAGCAGGAATGTGACAAATGACCTTAACAGTGTTAAAGAAATTTAAAAGTTTTTAACTAAAAAATATATCATTGGACCATATTCCTAACTGAAACAGTTGTGCCAAAACTGATTACTTATATGTAATGTGTTCACAGTATTACAAAGAAACTTGTGTGATATATTTCAGACATTGATTAGAGGGAGTGGAAAGTTGATTCTTCTAGATAAACTGTTGCTACGACTACGTGAGAAAGGTCATAGAGTGCTTATCTTCTCCCAGATGGTCCGTCTACTTGATATAGTCTCGGAGTATCTCCAACTTCGACATTTTCAATACCAAGTAAGTTTACTTGTTTATAGACTAGTGATATTTTATATTATGTGTTACTAAGCTTAAGAAAATTCTTGTACACAATGGTAGTTCTGATCAGAAACTGTCTTGGGGTCTGGTGAAATGTGCTTACTTCCAAGATGCTGCTGTCATAGCTGTAGGTTCAAATCAAACAAGAAATGCAATATACTTTATATAAGGAACAGCTTGCTTATGGTTTTAATCAAATACATTATATCTTTGAGAGATATCCAGCTAGCTTACGGAATGTCGGTGGTTCTACTCGGGTGCCCGTTCGTGCCTGAAATATTGCACGGAAGGGCACTTGAGGTCTTCCTCTACCAGTAAAGCTGGAACGTCGGGATATGACCTATATTGTGTTGATGTGACGTAAAGATGTAAAACCCCCACCAAAAAAAAAAAAAATATATCTTTGAGGAAAAATAGTTATGTCAGTTTGAAAGTAAGTGGCTGATCCACTTTTATTCATTTAATTGAATGAAGACTCTCTGATAAGTAATGAGTTTCAGGAATTTTACATTAACTTTCCTATTTAATATAAATGTTTCAAAACAAAGCTAAATTCTCCTACCAGAGGGCCCCAGTCCACTATAAGGTATTTAGGGCCCTGACATATATCCTGGCTCTTCACAATATATAGTACAACTTGAGATGTTATTTGTATTTCAGAGACTGGATGGGTCCATTCGTGGAGATTTAAGAAAGTCAGCATTGGATCATTTCAATGCTGAAGGATCTCAGGTTAGTTTCTTAAAGTTAGGAGTACTGTAGATAGGAGTAAGACTCTTGATTCCATATTATTCCTATTATACTATCTTAATAATAAGAATAATAATTTAGCTGTTTATTTATTTCTTTGTTATTTCAAAGTAGTATCCCTGTCAGGGATATTGAATTTATGTTAAAAGCTACCTAGCTAATTTATGGTTAGTTTTCAAGTTTCCTTTAAAGTGTTTGTTGTATTGAATTCAAACCCACTGAAAGGGAAAGATTTCCAATAAGATATGTAAAATAAAACAGTGCCAGTGTAGGTTCAGATTTGAAAGAATAATTTTACTAAAACTTATTTAATCATTTATATCTTTCTTGTGTTAGATGTTTTATGCAAACAAAGATTTTTTATCTGGATATTTCATAAAGAAGATTTCTTTTGAATTACTATTAATGTCATTCTATGTAGTCTGTCATACAAAACATGTTAATATTATTCTGTTTAGATGTTCAGTATAATTGATATTTTATCACATATTTATTGTATTTCTTATTTCAGGATTTTTGTTTTTTGCTCTCAACGAGGGCTGGTGGTCTAGGTGTTAATCTTGCCACTGCTGATACTGTGATAATATTTGATAGTGATTGGAACCCTCAGAATGATCTACAAGCTCAGGCCAGGGCACACAGGATAGGACAGAAAAATCAGGTTAGCCAACTCTATGAGAATGTTATATTTATGTCACCATTATATAGCTAGGCCAGTCTCTATTGCTGTATAGTCAGATATGCCTCTATAATCAATCTTCATGACTTCTAAAAATTGTTTGCTCGAAAATCGTGAAATCAGCAATTCAAACAGTTACAAAATAAAGAACAACAAAACCAGTAAAGCTGATACATCAAATCTTTTGTATTTGTTTTGACAATTATTCAAAGTTATATTTATAATATATAGAGGATATTGAAAGAGTGTAAGTTGAATAAAATTATAGAATGCGAGCCTCTGGCGAGCTGAATATGATTTTATTCTATTTATCACATACCGAAAATAAAGACTGTTTGAATTGAAAAAGAATAATTTTTCAATAGCGAGAATATTGTGTAAAGCTAACATTTAGCGCCTCTTTACACTATGTTTAGCTGCACGGGTATGTGATAAACATGTGTATATGTATAATAATATATGAACATGGCATAGATGATATAATTATAAGTATATGTTAAACAGGTGTCTGTATACCGGTTAGTTACAAAGAACAGTGTAGAGGAGGAGATAGTTGAGAGAGCCAAACGTAAAATGGTGCTGGATCACCTTGTTATACAACGTATGGACACAACAGGACGTACTGTACTCAATAAAGATAGTGATCTATCAAGGTATTGCCAATTACATACATTCTTACCTATCTTGTTTCTTTTTCACTCATCTAGCCCTTGTTATAATGTTTCATATCCCATTTTAAAGGTAAAGGTGTTCATATTTCCTTCTAGGTTGTTGGTCCTATGATCTTCTCTTGTGCTACAAAGTCAACTGTATTATTGTGCTTGTGAATAATTACCTTTAAAGAAAAATACTGCGATAACAACCATATACTGGAGTATAGTATTAATTAATAAGACATGGCAAACAATCGTCTGAGTTTTATGAAGCAAAAATAAGTGTTGTTAGTCAAGAATGCATTATAGATTAAATCGATTTAAGAAAGATCTTATTTAAATTGAAATGATTAAAATCTTATATAATCATCATTGGTTGCTGATTTCCTGAATTTACCAGTTTTATATTATATGTATTACTAGTATTTTTTATCTATTTCAATAGTAGGAAGGTACCATTTAGTAAACACGAGTTGAACTCCATTCTTAAATTTGGTGCTGAAGAATTGTTCAAGGAAGAAAATGATGATGAAGAGCCACAGGTAATTTATTTCCCATCATCTTTATATTATAATACATGTGTAACACTATCAGTGATTTTAATTTTTCATAAATTCTACATTAGATATGGCTTAAACTGTTGTATGGTTAAGTCCTTTGGCCGAAGTTGTGGAGTCTCCATTGACTAGTGGTTAAGGTTGCTGACTAGAAATCATTTGCCCCTCATTACTGTGAGTTTGAATCATGACAAGGACTTGGAATTCTTTCATGTGAGGGAAAAACTGAAACTGTTTTATTTAATTAAACGCCTATTTCTAGGCGTTGTACAAAAGGATAATAAAAGTATGTACATATAGATAAAAAACACATATGCATGACAAATGAACTACAAAAAAATAAGTTAAAGATATCAGCCGTGTAAAATATAAAGTATTAAAAACTTAAAAAAAAAATAGTTATAAAAAATAATAATAAAAAATAATTTAAAAGAAAATAAAAATTAATGGTTATTTCAGTAAAATTTTAAACACATTTCCACATCTCGATCAGTTTACAGCCCAATCACAATCTTAAAACAATGCGTAAAAATCTCTAAAATAGTAGGTTTTGACATTTTTCTTGAACATGTCCAAAGTCGAAGACTGTCTTATATACAAAGGCAATTTATTCCAGAGAGTTGGACCAACGGTACTAAAACTTCTGTCGTTAAATGTTTTCCTTTTGTTAAAGGGGACAGCAAAACAATAATCCATATTATCAACAGATCTGAGATTTGGTCTTTTTATGACAGGCTTGTGTAACAGTTCTGTTAGATAAACCGGAGCATTGCCCATAAAACAGTTATACATTGTACATAGTATTTTAAAATTGATTCTAGCTTTAATTGGTAACCAATGCAGTTCAAACAAAGAGTCAAAGAGGGAGCTATCCAGTTAGCTTACAGAAAGGTTGGTGGTTCTACTCAGGTGCCTGTTTTGTGCCTGAAATAATGCATCGAGGGTCATTCTCTTCTAGTAAAGCTGGAAAGTTGTGAATCCAACAAAACAATGACTAAGAGCTTCAAATAACAAGAAATATTTAGAGTGTTATGGTGAACCAGAGTTTAGCCAGTTTATTTAACATCTATATGTTGAGTTTTGTATGAAAACATTGGTATTATACTCTGATTTTATTTTAAAATGATAATTTATATTTTGTCAAAAGTATACTGTATAATATATGTGTTAAATGTGTGTGTGTGTATACATGTAGGTTGATATAGATGAGATATTAGAGCAGGCTGAAACACGAGAAATGGACGAGAATAAAGGTGTACGTGATGAGCCTCTGTCACAGTTTAAGATTGTCAGCTTTGAAAACCTGGAGGATGAGGAAATTGAAACTGGTAATTATTATGTCCACAGATTTTACTATTGATCATCTTTGTATAAGATTAGTCCAGATTAGATAGATGCTTATGATGGATTGAGCAGTATTTTCACTCTTTAACAAAAATATCCTGTAACATGAACTAATAATTATCATAAATGGTGCATAATCATTAAAAGATATATATTTATTGAGAGAAAATTTATTGAGGGAAATAATAATTCAATTTATATGAAAAATGAGATTATTTTGAAATGCATTTAGGAGAAGGTAAATTGAAATAAAAAAGTAAGATGTTTTCTCACTATATGATATCAGAATATGAATATGCTTCCATGTTGCAAGTAATGCATGTATTAAAAATGAAAAAAGTATAATATAACTTGTTAATTAATTACACAGTGCTAACATTTTAGGAAATAAATGTGGTCATGATTTTATGTTGTATATAATATTTACAGGTAAAGATTGGGACAAGATAATACCTCAGAATGATATAGATCGTGTAGAAGAAGAAGAAAGACAGAAAGCTTTACTGGAGCTGAATCTACCACCTAGACAGAGAACCACCATACAACAGGTTAACCATTATATCATATTAGATATTCCCACTGATATAATAATGAAATATGAGATACCTTGCTGAATAATAATGGAATAGTCAGTCAAATATGTTAGGTACTCTAGAATAGCTGAATTATTGAGGTTACTGACTGAATCATTGCCTTTCACCTCTTCAGGCTAGAATATTGTTTGGAATTTAGTTAAGAAAGATAGGTAAACTGACATTCTGATGGGTGCAACCCAGACCTGTTATGTACCTGAAATAATGGGGTATAACGAAACCATGTTGTGTTTTCCTTCATCATTAAAGCTGCTATGTTGCAGTATTAGCCTAAATGTGTCAGTGTAACTTTTAAAAAAATGTTAAAGCATTATTGGATATTCATGAAATTGCTGCTTATACACTATAATGAGTACTTTTAATGGTAGATTTTAAAAAAGGTTTTGTCTTGATATACTATCATATTGCTTAAACAAGAGATTTTTTTGTGTTGTTTACCATGAAATTTTTGCATGATTAAAACACATTGTACATCAGTGAGAAATAAGAAATTGTTTTGGTTGAAATTCAAAATGTTGGCATTTTGTAACATACGCAGTTTCACAGGTTAATGGTGCTCATTATTAGCTTTGTTAGGTACAAATCTTTACAGTAAATCGAGATAAAGCTGCAATCATAATAGCTTTATTTTTATTATGCAGTTGGAAAAAAGTCTTGGTTCTGATGATGAAGAAAAGAACAATGATGATGATTCTGAGAGTTCTGAATCTGGCAGTGATGATGATAGACCGAAGAAACGTGGTCGTCCTCGGGCTGGTAAAAATGATAGCATTAAAGGATTTACCAATGCTGAAATTAGACGTTTTATCAAAAGCTACAAGAAATATGGTGATCCACTGTCACGGTTAGTGTTCCTTTTTTGTTCAAATTAAGGACATACAGAAATAAACTATTTTGGGTTGATGAAGATACAAGAGCTAATTTGCATATTTTTCTTTAAATATTGAGTGTTCAGCAAACTACCTACAGTTGGATGGATTTATTCCTTTAGAATTACTTTATTGAATTATTTGCATTGAAGCATAATAGATTTTTCAATTACATCGGAAGGAATGCCTTGCTCATTTACTTAAGAGTTTTAGGAATGCTGTAAAACTTCATAGTTGTTCTTGATTTGTTTGTTTAGAGTTACAGATAGATAATAATTATATAATTATATGGTTATTATAATGTTTGGCTATGTTTTACAGGTTAATTGATATTGCTTGTGACGCCGGACTAAGACAGTCAGAATCAGATTTAAGAAAATTAGCAGAACTACTCAAATCCTCCTGTGAAAAAGCTGTCAAAGATTTCAATGCCAAAAAACAGGAACAGGAGAATCCAGAAGGTGGGTCTGGACATCTCTGTTTGAAATAGCAAATATATAGAGAATATACATGCACATATATTAATTCAAGAGTAAAATTGATAGGTCCAGTCGTATGTTGAAAATTATTTTCATTTTGCATCCTAAAGCTTTTTGATTGTTAAAGTGTCTAAGATGTCAGTAAATAGTGATCAAGAGAGTGTATTAGACTAATAAGATTGTTATGTATGCTGTCTGTTTACACATTAGAGATAAACACATTAAAAATCTGTCCCAAACATAAATTTACCACTGGTTTTACTGAACAAATTTTGTTACGTAACAAATTTTGTTAATACATTATGTATTAATCAGTTAGCTAAAATTTTATGTTTGTACTTGACATAAAAGGTTGAAAAGATAATGTGCTTGGTTATATTGTGTAAAGACACTTGTCTTTTATTACTTCAGGGACAGGCAACAAGAAAGGACCTCGTGGAATCTCATCTAAAATTGCAAGTGTAGTTGTCAATGTTCAATCCATCCTGAAAGCCAATGCTGAACTGGAACCCTTAGTCAGATATATACCTAAAACCAAAACAGAACGTAAAAAGTAAGTTCTAGGAGGTGTCTGGAATAAAAATACTAACAGTAAAGGATGTGTAAACAAAAAGTATTTTGACTATAAATAGTTACAGATCTACCCCTTTTTGCATTGAAAACTTAAAGATGAAGATTGTCAACAAAGTATCAGCTCTGTACATATAGAAAAGAAGTTTAAAAGTAATTATTTTGATAACATACATATTGTCTTTGCAAATATTTATTGACAAAAAGGGTATCTATTTTGAGATTTCAATGACTATTGTAAAGTATTCAAATGTAAAGTTTTATCAGAGTTATTAAAGTAAAGTATGCCTGTATTATGTAGGTTCCGTGTAGACTTCCATACTAAGATGGTACATTGGGACTGCAGTTGGGACGTTGAGGAGGATTCAAATCTTCTCAAGGGCATATACGACTATGGTATGGGAAACTGGGAACAAATCAAGATGGACCAAGAGCTTGGCTTGTATGATAAGGTATTTATCTTCTCTCTCAGTTTGATATTTGAGCCGCGTCATGACAAAACCAACATAATATGTTTGCGACCAGCATGGATCCAGACCAGCCTGCGCATCAGCGCAGTCTGATCAGGATCCATGCTGTTTGCTTACAAACCCTAGAACAAGTAGAGAAACTGACAGCAAACAGCATGGATCCTGATCAGACTGCGGGGATGCGCAGGCTGGTCTGGATCCATGCTGGTCGCAAACCCACTATGTTGGTTTTGTCGTGACACTGCTCATTTTATTTCTGAGTTAAATATGTTTCTATCTTTCTGATGTGATTTAAATTGTATTTTGATTTTGTTAAAGAATACAAAGTTTTCATAACAAGTCATGATTGAGTGACATGAAGAAATGGTGACATACAAACATAGGAATATAATAGCCACAACATACTTGAATTATTGTAAGTCATTGCAGCTTAGCATATTATTGTTATGTAAATTCTATGATTTATTTGCTGATTTCATACTTCAGCACAATCCTACCTTATATCTTTACTTAGCATGATGATTGTATCCAGTGAACTGACTGGCTCTGTTAATAATAGATTGCCTTGATTAAATTTCCAGATCAAATGCTGAATATATTAACAGAGCACCCAGCAGTATTAAGCCGTCATCTTGTCAGCCTGCACTTTTAGAAGTATAAATCTGCCAGGTCTACTGTTTTACACCGTGTATGGGTTATTTTGAAAAAAAAACAACAGTTATTGACAAGAGATGTTTTCATTATTTCAGATTTTACCAGATGGGGATAAAAAACCTCAGGTTAAACAGTTACAAACGCGAGCTGATTATCTCCTTCGAAATTTAAAAAAACATTTAGATGGTGGGGGAGGAAATAAACCTGTTGGTGTAAGTCCATTTTTGAATTATTGACTATATTTTTTGATATTTAAGATATGTTCATTTTGTTTATAAAGATGCTTTAGAACATAACTTTTTCTTGTTCTAGTAATATTATGTGAGTTCTTTCCCTTGGTTAAGTTTGATGGACTTTATTTCATGTATTTGATTTTATTTTCATTTTATTAGCATGTAGATGATAAAGGTTATATAAAGTGTCTTTTAATTTTTTTATATCTCAAATAAGATTTTTATGTAAAGTGTGGATTTCTTGTTTATTTTTGGCCAAGGTTGTTGATCTCCCATGTTAAAATAAAGCTGGTTGTTTTGGATATTAATTTCTCTCCTCATTTACAGACACAAACCTTATGTAATGCTTTGAGTATTTGTTGGATTTCACTCCATTAGTATAACTAGATTTAAGCCATATGTCTTCTAAATGGTTATGATCTGAAATAGCATAATTATGTGATATCTTCAAGCTGGGAATTATGTGAATGGATGCCAGAGATGGTAATACAGTGAGTGTGGAATAACAAAGCTAATATATATTTATTACTTTCATTATAGCGGGGGAGAAAAAAGAAAGTGAAATCAAAGGCAGAAGTTGATGAGAATATGGATGATTCAGATTCTAGTGGTAAAAGTGTGAATGACACAAATACAAGTTTTCCCGAAACTAGTAAAAAACTGGGTAAAAAAGTAGATAAAAGTGATAGAGACGCTAAAAAATCTGAATCTGATCACCATGATCATCATCATCATCATCACCATCATCATCATCATCGTAATGATAAAAAGAAGAAGAAAAGGGACGATAAAAAGAAGAAAACTAAGGAAAGTAAAGCTGGTCCGATGCATTTTACCGCTAGTGCCGAACCAGTTGCGATCTCACAAGATGGAGAGTTTGATGGGGAACTGCCAGAAGAAGTTTTTGTTGAGGTGAGGAATTGTTCTAATTATGTTCAAGTCTGTGCAAATCTGTTTGTATACTTTTAAAGGTATTGAAAGTAACTGTTGCTGGGCTGGTAAACAATATTTGAATAGTTGTCTTGTAAATGTAATAATGTTAGCTTTTTGTCAAACTTGTACAAATTGCTCAAAAATCTTTTAGACCATGCTTGTATGTTCATGAGTTAGATATTCTATGGAAAATTCCATTTGAAACACTATCAATATTTATTGAATTAATAAATTAAATTAAATAAATTAATAAATTTAAAAAAAAATTGACATTTGTTAAATGCTACAGTTGATGTACTTAAAAATTACACTCATCATGTGCAACTTTTATGCCCCTGAAATGAATATTTTTTTCCATAGAAGGAGCAAGAATATGTTTGATGACATTTTGATAATGGATTTTTACCATTTAGCACTGAATGTAAAATCATTTGTCATTAAGGAAGCAAATTATAAACAAAGCTATATTTTGACTTCCATAATAAATACTAATTCACTAGTGAATTTGTTGACTAAAGTACTAGTGAACTAAGACAAAAGTTCAGCTCTATTGCCAATGAGTACATTTTCAGAAATTGTAGCATGGGACCAAAAATAAAGTTACGAGATTTAAAAAACAACAAAAAACAATCATTTTTGTGGCTAAATGGACCTTTAATATACATACATGTATTTATGAATTGATACAGTGTAAGGAGAAGATGCGGCCAGTGAAACGTTCACTAAAGCGTCTAGATAATCCAGAGGAAGGTTTGTCAGACAGAGATCAGGTGATCCATACACGACAGTGTTTGCTCAAGATTGGTGACAGGATTAATGAATGTCTAGCTGACATGAATGACCCTGAGAAGATCAAACAATGGCGCTTGTAAGTCATTCTGTATACTACAATATCTATTACTCTCTTGTGCTGTAGTTGTAACCTTTTATATTGGTGCTCATTTGTAAAGAATGCTCGGGTTTATTTAAGTCCACATGTAAATTAGACTTGAACTTTGGGTTTTGATTGTACTGATATGAATTGATCAATGTTCTGTATATATATACAAGATATTTTGTTCATATATAAAATTAGAATGGTAAAAGCTTATGCACTGTTTTATTTCACTTCAAAAATGTTTGTCACAATTTTGCTCTGTAAAAGAATAAAAAGAACTTTGCACTGCTGTTTTCTGTGGCAATCAGGATAACATTTTAAATGGCTTAATTTTGAGTATATCATATCTATATAGTCATTATTTTTCCATTTGTTTAACTTTGATGAAATAAATACATAATAATTAGTGGCAAGAATTATTGTAAAAATGTAGCATTTACTTATTTCATTTTTACAGCTATTTATGGATATTTGTATCTAAGTTCACTGAATTTGATGCAAAGAAATTACACAAATTGTATAAACATGCATTGAAGAAGAGAGATGATGAAAGAAAAGATGAGGTGAGATATATTTAGCAGCTTGTGTCACTATGTTGTATAAGAAAATAGTTGGAAAATTGTTATTGACCCTGGTCTTGCAGGAACCTGTAGCAATTAACCTTTACAACCAATATAGTATCTGTATAGTCTCAACTAAGCTCTATACTGTAGATTAAGTTTTAATTTTAATCTTAGTATGTCCAAGATTTATAATAGACTGATCTATAAATGAAAGCTGGTTAGTTCACACCATTTAAGAAATTTAGCTAGTTAACCTTTTGCTTGTTTCTTGTTATTTTATAAAGTATACAAAAGAGAGGGGCATGTTTACATTTGACTGAGAATATAACAATATTGTAAACAAATATTTATTAAATTTATTATTTATTTGATACATTCTCTTCTAAGTTCTTGTATATTTATAATCTTGTCTATTTATATACAGAATTCCCATCAGTCAAAATCACACAGTCATGATAAACATCACAAACGTTCTCATGAAGATGTTAAATCCAACTCATACAATGCCAAACGGCCTCATATAGAACATGACAGGTACGTGGAAACTTTATACTTCAGTATTGTCTTTTTGTACATTTGGTAATTTTATATTCTTTTGATCATGTAAGCAACTTTGGTGATTCAAGTCTTGAAGATTGTTTGGTGTTCCTTTGTAAATTTGCTAAAAACTTTTAGTATGAAACAACTTGATATGTCAGCATATTGAACAGATCAATATTGAATGAGAAATATGAGCAGGGTAGCCTGTCTATAGTGCTGTAGAACTAAATATGACAGTCTAAGGTTTGCACTTTTTTCTCACCCTGAGATAGTTAATTGTGGACTAGAGCCATTGATGTACAGCTTTCTGTCAATTCATATTGTATCTATTAAAAAGTGACAGACTTAAAACAATTGGTGTAGGGGTAGGTTGTCACAGTGTAAAAATAATCTTTAAATTGAAAAGACATGTTAAGGGCAGAATAGTTCTCTTAGTATTGTTGAAGTGCAGTATTCTAAAGGACCAAGGTTTATGTACCAGTCTAGCTGTACATTTTTCTTACTCTGTGATATGGTAAATATGTTGAGTTTCGGAATTTAATACCAAAATGATGAATTAGTCTAGAATAAATGTAAATTTCTGACTTACACTTGTATTTATTGTTATAAAGTCAACTAAAGATAATCTAAATGAGTTTGGTTTGATGTTTTAGTATATCTTATCTGATGCTTTATTGAAGAAATAGATATTATTATGGAATGATTGTTAAAATGATTTAATGAATTTGACAATGTTTCTCTGTAATTCTACAGTTCCAGTAACAGTAATTGGACACAGTCATCATCATCAAATGCTCACACATCGCACGTCACCTCATTCCGTAATGCATTTAATAACACAACTACTAGCACATCCAGCCCGTCAGATAGATGGCAAAGATCAAGTCCACTAGATAGACATGCCCAGGACTCGCAAAATGTTTACAATAGAAACAGGTGAGCTCTTGTTTTCATGTATTTTATTGAATTATTGAGTGGTGGCGTGGCCGAGTGGTTAACACGTCAGACTAGTAATCTCAGGATTGCTGACTGCGTGGGTTCAAACCCTGTCAGGGGCAAGCAGTTGTTTCCTTGAGCAAGAAACCTCACATTCATTGCTTAGTACTGGTTGGTACCAGGAACGGATTCCAGAGTGTTTCAATAAGCTTATAGCTTCCAACACAATCAAACTAAAATAAATTTGTTAATTAATTAACAGCATGAATATATATTATGTTGCACTTAACATAAATATGATTTAAAAGTGTACAATATTATCTGGATAGAATATTTGTTTAACTGAAATACATAGTTGTTGGTGATTAAAAGTTGGAAAAAAAACTTTTCATAAGAAGCAATGTACAAATGTAAAGTTCAGTAGAACTTTGAAAGCTCTGTCATTTGATTTTATCATTGTCATGTCACAAATAACTGTTTATTAGTTATATACAAGAATACAAATATTTTTATTGTGATAAATTTTAGATATGAAGGAAGCAACAGCTCGTATTCACGTGGAAGTTCGGCACAATTCTCTCATCACGAACATACACGTTTTTCTGATCACAAACCTCACTATGGTGGTGACAATAGAGGGTGAGTTACTTCCCTTATTTCTCTTTGCATGTTGTATTATGATATTGTTTGTACTTTTATTTTTTGACTTTATCCCAGAGTAGCTTCTAGTCATTTATTTTAGAATGTTTCTCTTTAAACACATTGAGGCATTTTGAACTAGGTTTATGTTTCCTGTAAGAATCCAAATATTTGAGATGTTTTACACACAGTAATGTAAATTTACTAGAAAGTTCCCAGGTTAGAATACTGTTTTTTTTCCCCAAAATTGTGGCAATTATAATTCAACAATTAATGTTCAGTTTTTGTTGAGGCGTATTCTTTCTCAGTTTGCCTTAATATGAAGATTATAAAAAAAGGAACTGGACCTGTTCCCAAAAGAGGGCAAAAAAGTTTGAAAGTTTGAATTGGAACATATTTACATGAAATGGAAATTGTTTTTTCTGACAAGGCCCAAAATCTTAATTTGGATTTTGACTGAGTTAACACTTGTTTGTGAACTTTAAGTATAACTGTTTTGTGTGCAAGTTCAATATCCACAACGACTGACAGTATTCACTTAATACTTACCATATGCCTTAATTATCAAATTTGTTTTTTGCTGCATTTCTTAAAGGGATTTAGACTTAATTATTCCCCTTTGTTAACATCATAAGTTTAATGTTTAAAGTGAATTTGTCTTTACTGGAATGTCTGTTATACCATAGATAATTACGATGATCATGATAGAACTTACTATCATGTTATCAATATTTGAAATACTTATGGAAACTGTGCCCATTGTAGACCACTCCGCTTTAAGGTTTAACGTAACAGATCCCTGTTTAAAGTTTTACTTGCTAGTTCTATTTGCCCAACCACTGGAGGTATTCACATGTCTTCAGCATCATATTTTTAGGTCACAGACTGAGTTTGGTATTTGGAGTTCATCTGAATTGTTACCCTTTGTGAACAGAATTGAAAATAGTTAAGAGAACTGAGCATCTCACAGCTCTTATTTAACTCTGTATTAATCTTCCATCTTAAAGTATAATAAATTTGCAACATATTTTTCCCCATAGTGATTTATGTTATAGAAAGTTGCAGATGAAAATGACCTTATATCTGAATGTGTCTTTGTAAGCATTTATAGCATGAATAAAATGATGAATGTCAGTTTATCAACAAATTTTTTACTTACTTCTGCAATCTCTGTATATATTTATATGTTTGTTACCTGTTTTAGCATGCCCAGCAGCCTGTGTTGTTTCTTGTATTGACATGTTGAATGTTATTTCGTTGGCATGTGCTAAGTTTAGTTTGTAACAGCATTGAAAATGAAAGAGCAGCATGGTGTATGTGTATAGAAATAAAAATTACATTTGAAATGTGAATTTTAATTGAATTAAACTTAAAGTGTAAGTAAGGTTTTAACTAGGGGTGTAACAATACGGCAAAAACCGTATTGCAATATATTGCCATTTTGCTGAAGCGTATTGCAATATATTGCAATACGTATTGTGGTGTATATGTTTTGATGTAAAGATGGAGTAACATTATATATTATTATGATATGTATATATTTTTAGTAGAAACTTAATAAAAATGTAAGGAATAAATAGAAAGTAAAGTGTCACACAATTTGATAAACAAAACTAGTCGCATGTGACCTTTCACATCTGGGCCGCTTATGTAAGTTATGCGGCTGCTTATTGACTTTTAAGTGTACTAGATGGATATTTTTATTTTACGTTGGCGCCAATAAAATTTGCCAATTAAAGATTTTAAGCAAAATTTGTATGAAATCAGAAGGAAATTGATTGAAAATTATGATTTTAATAAAAATTCCGGTTTTCCAAAAATCGTACCGCGGTACGAAATTTATTTTTTCATATTGCAATATATTGGTATACCGGTAAACCGTTACACCCTTAGTTTTAACATTTTCATCCAGATATTAAAATACTGAAACTTGTTGAAGTCTTAAAATGTTAAACCTTAAATACCCATCAATTAACACATGATTTTAATTTTACAATGAGAGAAGAATTTCCTTGGATGCAGGTTCAGTTATTGCCATTAATTGAAAAAAAATTATTTGAAATAATGAATTTTAGTAACTAATGTTTTGATAAAATTAGATATCACCAGGTGGTGGCCCTTTGTAGAGCAACTTTTGAAAATGTTAAGACGTACAGCTTACCGGTTTGTCATCTATAATGGATATTTCATATAACAAGAGAAGCCAGCTTGGTAAAGCTTATTATCATAGTCCCATTACCTTGCAGTTAAATATACTACTGTAAACAGCCACTTACTATAAACAAAGTCAGCTGAAGAAAACAAGAATTATTTAAGAGGAAATGTTAATGAGGAGCACTTGAAGTAATGTTTGAAATAAAATTTTCACGGGGTTTAATGCAATATTCAGTTCTAAGTTCCTCTATATAAAATGTATGGCTAAACCAGTATATGTTATCTTAAATCTATGTAACGCTAGGTGTTTAGTAGAATTTAGTTGCAAGTTAAGATTTGACAAGTTTGAAGTGTAAAACACCCACAGTTTTATCACAGTATCTAGACACTCACAAACATTACTCCAGGTGAAGAATGTCACTATTGATGGGAATATCTAACACATGTTTACACTAATCACATCATATGTAAATGATATTTTTTGTGTGTTCTGCAATTTCAAAAATATTGTTAGAGGTGTCATTAACTCCCATGAGCAGAAAAAAAAGGGAGAACTAATTGTACTTCTCACAGTGAAGGAATAACGCAGGGATACATGTTCATTTGTAGGATAAATATTGAAGATTTTTTTTATATATATAATAAAAGAGAGAAAAGGAGGGAGGTAGGTTTAGTATAGTATTTAGTTATAGTAGGACAACATGCTATGGGAAGAAATGGAGGTGGGACAACAAAATCATTAAGGTACACTGGTTATTTCCCTTTCCGTTACTCATGCCTTTTAATGACACCCGTGTTTCGATACAAAAAAGTGACCAGAAATTACACTATTATATTCCGTAGGTTTAATGATAGACGTGAAGGCCATGGCAGTTACAATCACCGTGATTTTCCGCCCAATTCTTATGCTCAACAGCATAGTTATCGGGACGGGCGCAGTGGGGACTACAGAAAATTTAACCCCTATAGAGAATATGGAGGGCAGACCCGGTCTGAAACTACCAATAATAACAGGTAGGATACTCTCAATTTTTATCATCTAGGAACATTAAAATACAAGCCCAATTTATCCATTATTGTAAGGCCAAAAGGAATAAGATACATTAGAACTGGGGAAGGAACTTCATTAGTTTTACTTCTCGTTCTTCAATCCCTTTTACTACAGGCCAGTAATGTTATTATGTATCCTGAGCTAAGAATGATCCAGTTTTCTGTACATTTTGTAGAAAATGGTTTAATAACAACAAAAAAGATCATTGAAAGCTAAAAAATCTTCAAAGAATTCAGAATTTTTTATATTTATATTGCTGCTAGTGATACTTTTCAATAATATAGTTGTTTATATATAAGTTGGTGAATTCATGTATGTAGTTTTTCACAGTTGTTTTCTTGTGTTGTTGTTTATATTGTAGGAAATGCAATATTTTTTTATATTATTTTATTTGTGATCACCATTTACTGCTATTGCCGCTTTAAGTAGTTATCTTACTGCAGTTTTATTATTTGTTATTGTTGAAATACTGTGTTATGTGTTCTTCATGTGCATGTTTGTGAACAATTTATTTGAATGTGATCTTTTTAGGGATCAAATTTGAGTAATGAAATCTAAGTAAGCAGTACATGTAGCAGGGGCATTCTTTTAAAGGTCAATGCCATCAATTCATTGAAATCTAAAGATAAGGTGATATCATGTTAAACTTAGTTTTCAATGAAAACCAGTTTATTAGCAACAAGCAACTATAATAATTAACAATATGTTACTATTTTTCGTCTAAGAATTTCGTTCGTTCTTACATGAGATGTAATGTAAGGGGAAGTTAAACTGTAAAATGTGTTTGTAAGTGAACATGTTTGAAAGAATTGTACAATGTTTTAACATTAGTAAATTTACAAATTGGATTAAATCTTGTTCTCTGTCTTCGTAAATAAATGTATAATATCTGTGTATTGTATTATATATTTTGAACTGAGAATAGATAAATAGACTCTTCAAGTTTTAAGTAATGAAGAATATAATTCAAGATCTAGAAATATTATTATGTCTGTTACATTACTCCTCAGTGGACATGGACAACAGATATTTACTATATGATCAACACTGACCAAGATCTGATCAGTGCCATACTCTCTGATCATGGTCTACACAGTTCACTATTTAATCATGTCATGTTTTGAAAATTTCCCTAAAAAATGATTTGTTTTGTTTAGATTGAAAGTGGGACAAATCTATTTAAGAAATTAGTGTAGCCAGGGATAATAAATACTGAATATGTTACTTCTTCTATTTATAGCTATTCCCACCCACCAGAACGTAAAAGAAGGGGAGACTTCAATTTTGACCGAGATCCAAGATTCCGGAAAGAACAGAGAGTTGAAGATTATCATGGTGATAGTGGCTTTACTGGACCGGAACGCCACTGACCCTAGTTGCTATGGTAACGGGTTTGCCATATAAATAAAAGACTGTGATGTATGGAGTGTTGGTATGATGAAAGTAATGGGCATATATATATATAAGACAGTGATAATGGGTGAATAGTAACGTGTGAAAAGTTAGTCATTAGATATAGGAAAAGGCATAAAGATAGTTGATATAAAAAAATGTGCAATGGTGTATACTGTATGACATGTTGTTGTCACTGAAATCAGACACTGATGACTCTCAGTGTGAGACAATAACAGCAGGCTGGTACTGTGTACAATAATGCAATATCACTAAAGTTAATATGACTCAAGTTAATATGACTCAAGTTAATATGACTGAAGTTCATGATTGGAGAAATGAGGGAACAGAAGCAAGGTGACGTAAATCTCTGCACCAGGTGTTTGCAGTTGAAGGTAACAGCAGAATGTGTATTTCATGTTTACTTTTCAAGCCAATGTATTGGCTTAATACCAGTTTTCTCTTTGAGGGTGTGCAATCAAAAGTTAATAGTATAAAGTTGAAAGTTGACCAGATGCTAGTGCTGGCTTGATAATTGATTGTTCACCAATGAATGGCTTGCACATGGTAGCAGTTAGTTTCCTACAAACAGAATAGCAGACAGTATTCAAACAGTAGGACTTTGTCACCTTATTATATACATATGAAATTATTAAAACTTACAAATTGATCAGAACGTGCTGATTCTGTATGTTTTAAAGAAAGATGGCTTCAACTGTATAAAGCTGGACTTGTTTGTCTGAATGCGAGACTAATGTTTTTGTGTATATTTATATACTTACATTTCTTATGTCAACTAAGTAACAAAAACTGATTAAAGATGGTTGTTAGATCCTTGATAATAGCTGATGTGGTTAAAGATAAAAGTGGGATAATAAATAAAGGTTCTAGATTCTGGAGAATTTTGGCATCTTAACAGAGCTAATGAGCAAGTAAGCAACCATGACCATGTTGATACAGCATGATAAACTTGTTTCTTATTTGAATTTGAAATGTAAATTGTTCAATTAAGACAAGTCATTGTCAGATGGGTATGTGGTTTACTTACTGTAAGTTTGTTACTCTATAGCTCGGTGACTTTGTGGCATCTTGGAAAAAAGTTTGCCATGAATTATAAGTGCTTCAGCCAAATATTTTCAAGTGCTCTGTTAAAGCATAATGATGTATGTTGATTGACCTTGTTAAATCTTAGTTTGAATGGTAAAAATCTTTGTTAGATATTTTATTGATTATTACTTACAAAAAAGGAGATATGTGTACAGTTGCTATGGAATACAATGTCTCAAATGTTTCATTGATACTTGTAAACTCTCACCAACTATTGTTTTAAATTAGAAGCATTGGTTAAATTTTCCGGTTGATTCATAAACTAAGATTTCTGGACTTCAAAAAGCATCATTTTCTACAAAAAAGAAAATTAAATAAAATGGAAGATACAGAATTACTAAACAAATGAAAGATACAGAATTTTTAAGACTTTAAATATAAAATTATCAGTTGTGTATGAAATATTTATTATTAGTATGGAATGCTGATTTTAGATGAAGAGCTTGATATTTGATATTTAATTTGTTTGTAATTATGAGGGTTTGTAAGCCTTATTAAACTAGATTATTGTTTTCATATGCATTATGTTCAATGAGAAAGGAAAAGAAAAGGTTTTGCTTTAAATTACAGGGCTTACAGAATAAGTTATATATCAATTAATTATAAATTGTGTGTCAGTTATGATAGGTGTGCTATATGATGATTATGTGTATAAGATAAGTTTATATGTTGTTAATGTTTTGTTATTTTATGAAGACTAGGAAGAGATCTTGTATCTTTTGTGTTGATAAGGCAGCTGACATTTTGAAAATTGTATTGTGGGATTGCTGAAGACTCGAAAAAAGTTCATTCTATAAATACAGAATAAATTGTTCATAAAAGTAAGAATTATTCATAGTATTTGTTGTTGTTTTACTTGTTTATTGAGTAAAGATTTTGTTTAATTTTGATAATATTTTTAGAAGCATTAGCTTGAGCTAATTTGATAGATTTGATTAACCCTTTCCCCCATGAGCATATTGTGAAAAATGGCCGTTTTCACTGAAAAGCCTCCTGTTACAAGTTCAAACTGCTATGAAACTATGAAAAATGCTTCAATACTAATCAAACTTGGCACAAATGTTGACTGGACCATTGCCTTTGTAACTACATGCTCAGTCTTTAATTTCCTGTTACCATGGCAACGAGGGGACATCTCAAAATTGCCAAAAATCACTATTTTGCCTCGATTTTTTCCATCAAAATTTATTTCAAAGTGCTGCAACTGTTCAAGGGATTGAGATAGAGTCAAAGGCTTTTCAGCGTTGGTTAAACGTTACATTATGATCGACCTGGGGTCATTTTTACCCTCTCACAAGTCCAAAATTTTCTTGGCGATGAGGGGGACTCCGCCCCCCCTTCAAACCCCCCTTACAGAAGGGGGCACATCCCCCTTCTGGCAACCCCCTGATGTATCTTTTGGATGGGGGGCGGCGCCGAAAAAAAGTGCTCAATTTTTTAAAGCAACATTTCTCAAACGAAAACTTATATTGTTTGGGGTCCAAATAGGACATTTTTTCACTATTTTGAGGCCTTAAAAAGGGGGGGGGGGCGAAAAATGCGTTGTTTCGCGTATATATGTGGTAAAGGGTTAACAAAAAATGATGAAAACTTTGGAATCACCTAAAAAAACTAGTTTTTCCATGTTAACAATGTCGTATTTCACCTAATTTTGGTGAAAAATTGATGTTTTGTAACATTTATAATTTTTTAGTTAACCCTTTCCCCCATGAGCATATTGTGAAAATGGCCGTTTTCACTGAAAAGCCTCCTGTTACAAAGTTCAAAACTGCTATGAAAACTATGAAAAAATGCTTCAATACTAATCAAACTTGGCACAAATGTTGACTGGGCCATTGCCTTTGTAACTACATGCTCAGTCTTTAATTTCCTGTTACCATGGCAACGAGGGGACATCTCAAAATTGCCAAAAATCACTATTTTGCCTCGATTTTTTCCATCAAAATTTATTTCAAAGTGCTGCAACTGTTCAAGGGATTGAGATAGAGTCAAAGGCTTTTCAGCGTTGGTTAAACGTTACATTATGATCGACCTGGGGTCATTTTTACCCTCTCACAAGTCCAAAATTTTCTTGGCGATGAGGGGACTCCGCCCCCCTTCAAACCCCCTTACAGAAGGGGGCACATCCCCCTTCTGGCAACCCCCTGATGTATCTTTTTGGATGGGGGCAGCGCCGAAAAAGTGCTCAATTTTTTAAGCAACATTTCTCAAACGAAAACTTATGTTTGGGGTCCAAATAGGACATTTTTTCACTATTTGAGGCCTTAAAAAAGGGGGGGGGGTCGAAAAGGCGTTGTTTCGCGTATATATGTGGTAAAGGGTTAACAAAAAATGATGAAAAAACTTTGGAATCACCTAAAAACTAGTTTTTCCATGTTAACATGTCGTATTTCACCTAATTTTTTGGTGAAAAATTGATGTTTTGTAACATTTATAATTTTTTAGTTAACCCTTTCCCCATGAGCATATTGTGAAAAAATGGCCGTTTTCACTGAAAAGCCTCCTGTTACAAGTTCAAACTGCTATGAAACTATGAAAAATGCTTCAATACTAATCAAACTTGGCACAAATGTTGACTGGACCATTGCCTTTGTAACTACATGCTCAGTCTTTAATTTCCTGTTACCATGGCAACGAGGGACATCTCAAAATTGCCAAAAATCACTATTTTGCCTCGATTTTTTCCATCAAAATTTATTTCAAAGTGCTGCAACTGTTCAAGGGATTGAGATAGAGTCAAAGGCTTTTCAGCGTTGGTTAAACGTTACATTATGATCGACCTGGGGTCATTTTTTACCCTCTCACAAGTCCAAAATTTTCTTGGCGATTGAGGGGGACTCCGCCCCCCCTTCAAACCCCCCTTACAGAAGGGGGCACATCCCCCTTCTGGCAACCCCCTGATGTATCTTTTTGGATGGGGGGCGGCGCCGAAAAAGTGCTCAATTTTTTAAGAAGCAACATTTCTTAAACGAAAACTTTTTTTTTTTTTTTTTTTTTTTTTTTTTTTTTTTTTTTTTTTTGAGGCCCCAACTGGGTAACCCCGTTTATTTACCCCGTAATAGGTATGAGGGGGTCGGGTCATCCCTCTGATACCTTACATGATATCTACATAATATTTTAAATCATCATCTATAACAATATTTTTTATATAATTATAATTATACATTATATTCAAACATTCAATCAATTTTCATATAATATGTAATTGTATAACAATTATGTATGATAATGTATTATGCAACAGCTTCAAAACAAACAAAGAATATTGGTTTGGGGTAAATTGATTTAGTGTAGCCTATTAGTTTATTAAAGATCTTACAATTTGCCATCCTTCATTTACATGTTTGGTCAAATTTGTATTTTTGTAAATATTCCACGCCAATTTAAGACTATTTTTAAAACCAGGTATTGTAGGTAACACGATTTTTCTCTTTGACAAATAAATATATCTTTTCAATTCTAAAAACAAAATATCATATTTAAAATCATTAACTTCAGAACCTAAAATAAATGATTTACAATTAAAATTATCATCCAAATTATCTATCTTGTCTTTCAGATATTGAAATAACAATTGAATTTTTGGACATTCCCAAAATAAATGCAACAGAGTTTCCTCTTGGCAATTGCAAAAAGTACACATTTTACTATTGACAATTTTCATTTTGAATAAAAGTGAGTTTGTTGCTAAAGTTCTATGAATTATTCTTGTCTGAAACCACTGAATATAGGAATCTTTGGTACATTTAAATACATAACTATATATTAAATTCCAATTTATATCAAAATTTGTAAAAAATGAGTTCCATTTTTCTTGACATGTTGGTACATCTTGATTTTTAACTAGAATTTCATAAACAGACTTTTTGTTATTTTGTGTAATTAAAATAGGTTTTATATAACAACTCATAATAGGGTATTGAACATTAATAAAATCTTTACAAATAGAAATGTTAAGCTTTTGTGTATATAATAATATTGCTTTTTTCAAACTATGATATTGTAAAAAATTTACTTGTTTTTGTGTCACCTGCTCTAAGTAAGTTAAATCTACAAAATCGCCTTGGGGATTAATAATATCATTAACAAATCTGATTCCTTTTTCATAAAAAATTTTGATATAAAAGTATCTATTTCCTGCTAACAAGTTATGATTGTAAAACAATGGCATTTGTAACACTTGTTCTAAACTGTCTATACAAAGTTTATCTGTAAAAATCATATAAGCTTTTAAAACATCTATCCAAAAAGCATTTTTAATTTTATCAATTGTCAATTTACAAAACAATTTACCTGTGCTAAACACTTTATCAATATTGAATAAAGCCATCACTAGCTTATAACATTTACTGTTAGTATTACTAACATACCTTTTAAACCATTTTATCTTTATAGAATGTATATAACTATCAATATCAATCATATTTAGACCACCTTCCTGATATGTTTTAATAACTACTGATTGCTTTATCTTTGCTTTACCTTCCCATATAAATTTATAAAATAAGTCATTAAGTGTTTTCAAAAATGCTGAATTAGGTGTTGGTAAACTTGTAAAGCAATGAGTGAATAAAGGAAGGAGTAATGACTTAACAACAGTAATTTTTCCTATAGGTGTTAACATTCTTTTTTTCCAGTATCCTATACTATTTTTAACTTTTGAAGTTTTTCATTAAAATTTAACTCTATCATTTTTTCTAAAATCAACATCAAATATCAAACCTAACAATTTAAACTGTGTATCACCCATGTCAGTTTCCATTTTGTCTTAATAGATCTTGTACTGTATTTAAGAGAGCCTATCCAAATAACTTTAGTTTTTATCAAAATTTACTTTCAATCCTGAAATTTCTGAAAACGTGTTTAATAACTTTAAAACAGTATTAAGGGAATTTTCTGATCCATCTAGCAAAAGTGAAGTATCATCAGCAAATTGTGTAATTTTATATTCCTCCCCATCTATTTTATACCTTTAACATCTTTACATTGTCTTATTTTTATTGCTAAAATCTCTGCACATAAAATGAAGATATAAGGTGAAATAGGATCGCCTTGTCTACAACCTCGTTTAACTTTGAAAAACTTTGATAAAAATCCATTTAAAATAACACAAGTTTCAGTATTATATAAAAATAAAGATATCCATTTTTTAAACATAGGACCAAATTGAAAAAGTTCTAGACATTTCTCTATAAATGTAAATGATAACGTATCAAATGCTTTTTCAAAATCTATCATCATTACTAAACCTGGTATATCATTATCCTCAGTATATTTCATAATATCATACAATAATCGAGTGTTCTCACC